AAAAAAAAAAAGTGTAATTTTCTATGTGATCTGTTAGATAAAAAAATTTTTTTCAAAATCTTTTTGACTTTCTATCTTTTACGCACATTGCCAACTGCACATTCGGTATTGTATAGAATACCTAGGTAAAATACAAAATGAATAATATTTCATACATTACCTTGACGTTTTAGATTTCGTTCTGTACATTGTCTAGGTGTTGTTCGAATAATGGATTATACCTTAGATTAAAACAAAAAGGAAGATACAGCACTCTCTATACTGCTTAAATTGTGGTAAATGTGCACTCAATATAACAATATTGCGTATATTCTGTTCATAAACCATGCCTTTGATGCTTCTAAAAAGAAAACAAATAGTTGAAGATCAAAAAACAAATTATGGTAGGTATTTGTTATTTTCATGACAAACTATAAAATATTTTTTTCTCAAAAATCACAGTTTGTCATGAATGTTATTTACTTATTCCTCATTTGTTATCAAGAAAAGGACAACAATATGTCTCAGCTAGGGGTCGCAAACCGGGATACCGAATTTCGAAAATACCGGAATACCGGGTCAAATTTAGGTCTAATGAATACCGGTATTCATTTCACAAAAACCGGGATATTCGGTATTTTCGGTTTTAGTAAAATAAATAAATAACAAATACAAATAGAAAAAGTTACTTGCCATTTAATTCAAAATACGCGCGCGCGCGAGTTCGTTCACCTTAAGACAAGACGAACTTCCCGCTCTCTGTCCCGCGCAATGATTAGCGAACGAGCCAATGTCGTGGCGCGAACGGTGCAAGTGAGTAAGTTTAACTCACTTCCCAGGCTGTAACACTAAAGACAACCAAGAATGGGATGATGAGATATCCGCGGTTCCGGATTTAGCTGACTGGACAACTGCACGCAAATCATTAAACTCAACACATTAACTTGGGCCATCAAAAGCTTCCTCCCTTTTAAAGCAGCTTTACTGGGTGGCATCTTTCCGGGCCTACTGCAATGGTGCGAAGAATCGATACTCGAGCATCTACTGCGAATTTACACAGGATGTCTTGCCTATCGGTACATACCCACTAAGTGGAGAGAGGTTAAAGTTATATTCATACCCAAACCAGGTAAAAGTGACTTCTCGCAACCTAAAGCATTCAGACCGATAAGTCTCACGTCATTCCTCCTAAAGGTGCTGGAGAGAATGTGTGACAGGAACTTGAGAGATGATGCTCTAAAGCGTGTACCACTTCATGCAATTTAACACGCCTACAGCATGGGCAAATCCACCGAATCCGCATTACGTAGTCCGAATAGAACCTGGATTATCACCAAAACAATCAACGCTCGGAGTCTTCATTGACATTGAAGGCGCCTTTGATAAAACAAACTTTACCAGCATCAGCCAAGCACTTGTCAGACATGGAGTTGACCCCACGACTGCGGGGTGGATCAATAACATGCTAAAATACAGAGCAATACAAGTGACTGTGAACACCACGAAGAGAGCTGTAGTGGCACGGGGTTGCCCACTCTCCTCTCCTGTGGAACATTGTGGTTAACGAATTAATTTTCCAACTCAATCAACGCAACTACTACACAGTTGGCTATGCGGACGACCTAGTTATCCTCATAACCGGGCCATTCCAGAATGTGCTGTGCAACTTAATGAGTAACGCTCTCAAGATAGTCGAAGCCTGGTGTACTAAACCTGGTGTTTGGTCGGATTCACCGATAGTTGCTTATCGGTGAATCCGACCAAAACAGAGATGGTAATGTTCACGAAAAAATGTAACTTGGATACGGTTAAATTGCCCAAGTTATTTAATACCGAACTGTCTATGTCAAGCGAGGTCAAATATCTAGGCATAGTTCTTGATCATAAGCTAACATGGAACAGCCACTTAGACCAAAAGATAAACAAAGCCTGCATCACGTTTTGGCAATGCAAAATTCTACTTGGTAAAACCTGAGGTCTTGCACCAAAAATCACAAAATGGCTTTACACAACCATAATCAGACCACTCATCACCTACGGTGCAATAGTTTGGTGGCCTAGAACCGAACTCAACACCGCAATTAATAAACTTCAGCGTTTTCAAAGACTAGCATGCTCTGCTATAACAGGCTGCATAAAAATCCACACCCACAAACGCCCTAGAAATAGCGCTTGACCTCCCGCCACTCGACCTGTTTATACAACTACGGCAGCGCTAAGAATGTATCATCTGGGCTTGTGGACGGGAAACCAGGGACCTCACTCCAAAATTTTGGAAAGGGCTATACAATACCAACCTCTGGTAACAGCTCGCTGTGATAAAATCTCGACTACTCTTACATTTGATAGCAGATATCAAATAGAACTACTAGAAACCAAAAAGGACAGACGAACTACGCATTTACACTGATGGATCCAAAATACCAGGATTCGGATCAGGCGCAGGAGTCTTCTCACTGGACCTTAGCATCCATATATCAACAGCTCTGGGTAATCACAGCTCAATATTCCAATGCGAATGTATAGCCATTAATCAGGCCGCCAGCGCTGTTATTAATAGGAAAGTCAAAAACTACAAGATACGTATATTATCTGATAGTATGGCTGTCCTAAGAGCCCTAGATAGCAACAGCAAAACTTCTGGGCTAGTATACGAATGTCACCTGACATTGGAGTACATAGCAACGGATAACAAGGTTATCCTCCAATGGGTCAAGGGACATAATGACGCAGCCGACGAACTAGCAAGAAGGGGATCATCACAGAGAGTGGAAGGCCCTGCGCCACTTACCTTTCAATCAGTTTCGTACATGGGTGCGGCAACGAATCACACATAACCATACGCGTTACAGATAGTTCTCTGTGCAGAGGATGTCTGGAAGCAGATGAAACGGCCGCTCTTGTGATCCTGGAATGCATGAGCGTTGCAGAATACCGGGCATCAATCCTCAGGAAGCCGAGGACGCTCCTAGAAGCCTGTGAGAGCCCCAGGAGGCTACTGCGCTTCTGGAAGTAGCTGGCCTGGCTGAGCTAGCTAGCTCAACATACCCTGCACGCACAATGGACCAAGGACGGAGTATATGTGCGGAAACGGGGGCCCACAACAAGTAACAAGTAGAGTGAGTTTAAGTTAGTTGCGTTGCGACCGAAAAGTGTCAAATTTTCTATTTCAACTGTTTACATTTCGGCATCGTCATTCGTCATTGCGTGTTTTGTTGGTGTTGTGGTTTGTTTTTGTTATCCACACCCCGAATTTAGAAAGAAACAGTTAAATTGGTAAGTAAATGATTTTAAATTATTATATTTCATGTCGTGAAAGTATGGGGGTTTTAATTATTTTTGAAAAGAGCTGTTTGTGGAGAGAGAAATAAGTGCAAATATTTTTCTAATTTGTATTGTATGTATTGAACTGCAAATAGCTAAGATAGAAATTATGATATAAATAAACGTTTAATTAATGGTTTCTACCGCAATTGTTTTCGACTTATTTTTATAGCTTTACCCTTTGATTGACAATAATTGTGTGGCATTTAGTATTAGTAAATTATTGCAAAGAACTAACTGATTGATTACCAACATATCAAACAATAAACCTTGAGTCAATGAGTATTTTGTTTTATTTACAAGATAAATTTATTTAGGTTAGGTACGTACTTACTATTCCTCCGCAAGCTAACTTTATTATACTTAATTTTGCTAACTTTAGCTTAATCCCGGAAATATCGAAAATACCGGATTTTCGGTATTGGTCTAGAGCCAATACCGAAAATACCGGTTTTGCTGAAATGATTCGGTATTGCGACCCCTAGTCTCAGCTGTTTGTAGAGATAGAAAAGAAAACGCAGTCGGATGCCAAGAGACGCTGTCGCGCTCGCGCTGCATTAAAGAGTACATCTGTCTTGATCACTCGATTAAATCTTTATTCACAAAAGAGTGCATGAGGGAGAGTTGCTTATGTAATTGAATCAGAGCATATTTTATTTGATGCTAGTATGAGCATACCGTATCTCCGCTTTTTTTTAATGTAAGGATTATACAGATTGCTGGTAACATAGTAATACCCTTGGTATTAAAGTATTAGCACAAAACAGGGAGTACAGAAGTTCATTTGCATACCTACACTTGGTGGTCGCTCTAGGATTGTCAACATTGACTTATACGCAAAATACTATCGCAGTACCTACTGACACTTGTATCTAGTTGTTTTATTAATTATCGAGAATGAAACAGAAAGAACGGAATAATAAACCAAAAACAAAAACATACTATTATAAATTAACACAAGCAATTACAGTTCTACACTCACATAATTGATTTCCAATTGCTTTTAATTTTGTGTTTGTTGTTCATGCTTCAGTTCAGTACTTATAGTCTAAATTTTGTTGGTTATGAAATAATATCTATTTTTGAGTTGAGGTAAATAAAACATATAGAATGCATCCACTTAATCATCTACAGTTATCTGGGTCTACAACAATTGCTCATATTTGCACTTGATTCTATGCATAAGGCATAAAGCTTTTACATAGATAGATAGATTTTGCGAGTTTCAAGTAGTAGGTAGTTAGGAATTTTCATTTTCCTCCTATTATGTATTGTCACTATGTTGTTGACATAAACATCAATGCCAGTATATTTTATTACAAGCAAATAGGTAGTAATTATAAACATAAAATTAAAGTTCAAATAACTCTTTTCTAAAAGAAAATACAGTCATGCTCTCTATGAATTATAACTACCATGCAAGGGCAACAAAGACTGACATAGCTCAATGGAACCACTAACTTTTTCAGAGAACACTCATCCATTCTCCTTTGCTTCAAAAGTTTGAGAACTGACAAGTTAATTGTGTTGATTCATGAAAATGAAAGATGTTGAAAGGTTTCCAGTCCTATTTTAAAAATTCTGAGGAAATATGAGGAGTCATAAAGCTGGAGAAATAATAATTAGTTAAGTAGAATCTCATTTAAAATTCAAAGTTATAATCAAGCTTTCAAATAGATGTGAAAATATAAATTACTCAGGTTATTCAATCATCACATTGAGAAAGTTAGTTTAATAAACCTAGGCACAATATAAGGTTAAGAGATAAGATAATTGTGTAGCACAAAGCAACAAATAAAAAAGTCATATCTTTCGATGTTATTATAATTATGATAACATAGATAGAATAAAAGTCAATGTCATGCAGATTTTCAGAGGTTTGTCACAGTAATTGCACAGTTTCACTATGTAATTATAAGATTAATGTAATTATTCTACCAATAATAAACAGAATATGTCTGCAAATACAAATAACAGCTATAAAAAACAGCATGTAACTTATGACATGTACACACTGGCCTTTCTAGTAGTCATTAAATAGGAAATGTAAGGAAAATCACTTACCATTCAAAGACCAAATGTGTGATGGCAACGAATGCGCGGCGTAGACCCTGCCCAAGGCAAGGGAAGTGCCGGGCGCCGGACCTGCCTCCTCGTTGGAGCTGGAATCCGTGTCGGGGCTCGCAGCAGCTGACGCCTCGTAACTCTGCGAGTTAGCAGGAATCGCGATAGCCTCATGGGAGGCATGCAAATCCGGCACCGAGGACAAGGATCGCGCGCGCTGCCGGTCACTAGAAACCTGGATCCCAGGTATCGCTCGTAGTAAACTAAACCCCGCCCCACCCGAAACCACTTCCGAGCTGGAGCTCGTCGAGAATGTCCTGGTGCGCGGACTCTGCCCTCCATTCGCGGTACTCGGTTTAGCGCCCATAGCGACTCTACGTTACGCAAAAATCGTACCCGTCATACACAGATCAGATTCGACGAAGATCACGAGCAAGAGCGGAAAGCAACACCCGCGGCGGTGGGATGCATCGTATGGGACACTAAAGGCTGTAGCCTAATGCGCAAAAAAACACTGCTAAACAACAATTACAAATAAACTCTGTCTTTATCTAATTGTAAACAGCGCTTGCATGTGCCTTTCTGCAAAATTTTGACAGTTCTGCCTTTTGTATGAAGTTAGCTGACTGACAGTTAGATAGCAACACCATAGGCCCGATTCTGGCACTCTGGAGTACCTACTGAAACTTCTGGCATGACTCTCTAAACCATACATCCTTGTCATGTTTAAGGAGAGTGAGAGAGATAGAGAGACTGCTGTCATAATAAGTTAAATTTTTAACATTTTCCCTTTACAGGGAAGCCATAGAGTATATGCCCAAACAGCCTAATCTTAAATTTTATTAATCATCTTTTTTTACATTAGCATATCGGTGTGATGCATTCTTATGTTTCTTGCTCTCGTAGCATGAGCACTACAATTTACATTATATCACGTTTTTTATCGCGTCTGTCAAAGTAACGTAGTAATTTGACTGTTGAGCGTGATAAAAATGCGTTTTATAATAACATATCGCGGTGCTCATGCTAGGAGAGTTGGAGTGTTTACACGAACTGTATCGAGTTATCTTTTTCAATAAGCTTTGCAAGTGGGCAAGACGTCTAATAAAGTTATGACATCCATTGCATAACTGTAAGAGTGCAATTATTTCTAATTTGCTATGGAATTTTCGAATCAGTTGTTTAATGTCCATTTACAACCTTAAAAAGTTTTAACAAATGAGAAGTATTTTATTATTCTTCGGAATTTTAAACATTGTTTAGTGAATAAACATGTAATATCATGGAAATTTGATGGAATTTTATTATATAACTTTGATATTATTACAGGAATAGGATGGAAGGAATAGAATTCAGACTTGACGGAATAGAGCATATTTAAAGATTCCACTAAGCAAAAAAAACTTGTAATCAAATCAGTGAACCATTTGTCCTATACAAAAACCATATCTATATATATAAATAAAAGTAGTTTTTACGGGTTAATGCACGAAACTTTATTTATTTATTGACGTTTCGTAGCCTTTACAGGTTACGCCGTCAGAATCAAACTTTTATTAAAATAAATAAAATTTCGTGCATTAATCCGTAAAAACTAGTTTTATTTAATGAGTGATGTGCGTGAAAAGCTAAAAAACAAATATATATATAAAACTCAAAGGGGACTGACTGACTGACATAGTGATCTATCAACGCACAACTCAAACCACTGGACGGATCGGGCTGAAATTTGGCATGTTATGACGTAGGCGTCCGCTAAGAAAGGATTTTGATCAATTCTACCCCCAAGGGGATAAAATAGGGAATGAAAGTTTGTATGAAACTTTGTCAATTTTAAACCGATCGGGCTGAGACTTTGCATGCAGGTATAAGAAGAATCATAGATGAATGTCATTGTGTATAATACAAGCCTGAGAACAAAAACTGTAGTCTACACTTCAGCTCTACACCGAAGCGAAGTGAGGGCGGGCCGCTAGTATTTTATAAAGATCTTACTAAAAACAATTTATCGCTCACAAACTTAGAGCATATACCAATGGAGATGCCATACCGTTTACTCGCCGAACAAAATATGTCGCCATTTTTGGGGGTGGGGGGGACGAGGTACACAAGTGTATACTAACAGAAATATGCAATACTCGCAAAAACACAAGCGTGTTGTTCCTTTAAACGCACACTTCAAAAATAACGTCACTTATATAAAAAATGCATACACGGTAACAATTTTTATGTAACTTTGGAATTGTTCGAGCTCGAGCGTACACAAACACAAAAGTTAGGGATGCAACATTAAAGAAATGCACGATAATTGGAAGAACAGTTATTGATGAATGAAAAAATTATAATTAAATTCAAAAAATTTCAATAGGCTAGTTGACCCTTTTTGGAAAAAGGTTTTAAATGGTTAATTAATGTTCTATTAGACCGAAAAAAAATGTATTGTATTTTTTTTAAACCTAGAAAGCTACAAATCTTTAATTTTAAAATAGACTTTTCATGGACATACAAAAACGCTGTCGGCCATTTTAGTCTATAGATTATCTATGCTATGACGTGAACTGTCGTAAACAAAAACTCGTAAACACGTAGAAAATTACTTTTAACTGAGTTTATAATAAACAAAAACATGATTTCTAATAAATACCACGAAAAATAAAGTAATTATCATTACTGTATTGTACGAGAATATAAAAACACATCCTTGAAGACTCCAGGAAAGTTGTCGATTAAAGTGCCGAAAGAAATTAACCTACGCAACTTTATTACACTTATTCATATGTTGTATCAGTTTTATGTTTATTACTACATTGTAATACTAAATGCACTGTACTTACATAGATGCCTTGTCGTTTCTCTGCTCCGCAGAGCAGAAATCGGGGTTTAGTGCAACAAATTCACCAACCATCAATGCGTCAATTCTTGGCAGATTTGTGCTTTCTGCTTTCACAAAGCCGGCATCCATAATTAGTTATGTCAAAAAAAACTAAGTTTACTGTTTTTTTCTTTCCTAAAGTTAAAAGTGTTTTATGATAAATTTAGTCAGACGAAAGAATCCACCTACAGTAACACGCGAATGACATTTAGTTGTTTACCAGAAGAGACGTCAAAATCATGGCGGATGTGGCGAACAGCGTTTTTAGTGTTTAAAAAATATAGACTAAAAAATATTTTTTAAAATTAAATTTCTACAGCAATCTTCTGCTTTTATGAAGTGAAATCGATATATTAAGGTTCCTTAGACTAAATACTTTAAGAAATAAACATTTATTTAATACAATTTGACATGAGTAAACTAGCCTATTGCGGTTGAAAGGCGTCCGCACCGTTAAGCAGGGTATGGAGCGAGCGTTCGCTCGGCACGTTCGTTTCATAGAACCGTCACACGCGGCGCGGGTACACGGGGCATGGAACGTATCTCGCGCCGGACGCCAGCTCCGTGCAGTGTTACCAGAAACCCATTTCGCCGTTCCCCCAAAACTCACCGGAAATCCTCCCAAAATACAGGTTTTTGAAGAAAAAACCCCCCAACATGCAAAATATTTATTAAAAATACAATATTTACTACAAAGTTTCATTTTTGCAACAGCATCCATTACTGGATCAACAGCTTCGCACGCGTCGACTTTCCCACTCCTTTGTTAATCTTCTTACATAACTTTGTTTAAATAATGCCATTATTTTACTAAGGAGGACAAATTACTAAATTGCGACTTAACAAAGACGATAGATACTGATATCGATTCTGGCATGATTCTCTAAAGCTAAACTTAAATTTGACAACAGTGCATCCTTGTCATTCTCTATACAGAATGAAAAGGAGAGACTGATGTTAAATTTAGTTTTAAGTTTAGAGAATGACGCTAGAATCGTGTCGACTGTCGATTCGATTTGCAGTTTAAGCTTACTATCTATAACGACTGACTGACTTGCTTGACTTGACTGACCGACCGACTAACTGAACGAGACGGAATGGACTGAATAATACTTTTTTTAAGTGGGCTTTGGACTTAGGGGTCCGAATCGGGCTCATTGAATGAACACAGTTCAGTGGGCCCGAATCTGGCATGATTCTCTAAGCCTAATAAAATTAAATTTGACAACAGTCTATTCTTGTCATGCTCTATACAGAATGAGAAAGAGACTGTTGATTGACTGTCAATCGCGATTTTTTACAGATTAAAGTTTATGAAGTGGTTTTATTTTTATATAAAAAATGTAATTAAAAAAACCCCGTCTTCCCCCACTAATCCCCACAAAAATATTTTCCACCCATCGCTTTAAAAGTCCCCTAAATTTGGGGGGAACCCCCGTCAATCTGGCATCAGTGGCTCCGTGTCCTGCTTAACGGTGCGAACGCGTGCACGTACTAAAGCATTCATTTTTCAGCCACCGTCGGTAAGTATAGTTGAAGTTAGTTGAATAATGTACATAAGCGCACAACAGCCCGCTTTTATTGAGACAACTTAGCGATCGCAGCGCCACACTTATTTTAACCATATTTCTGGGGCACTATTTTCTACAGCGATCGTTCTCCTCTCTAACCTCCATGTCTACAACGCAGGTGGTTAGCTTGTTCAGCCTGCGCTCGTCGAAGTTAACTTTCGCAGTGGTCGGTCGTTGGATGGGCGACCAAAAATTTATCATCACCCCTCCGTGCTTTGGAAGGCACGTTAATCCGTCGGTCCCGGCTGCATCTGCAATCGTTAGCACCCACCAATCCGCACTGGGTCCGCGTGATTAGAATGGCCCAATCTCACTGTTGCATCCTCAGGAAAGGCCAGTAAGACATTAATAGGCTAATGATGATGATTACACATACTAAGTTAAATCAAACTGACTTTTTTATTGTAAATCCTATTTCAAGCACTAAGGTCCGTATTACAGAATGACAACTAAGTGTTGATCTTTACTTGAGTACAGTTAGAAAGGGATACCGCTATGTGCTATATATAGCGACATCCCTTTCTAACTATGCTCAAGACTAGATCAATCACTGCGAATCTTTCTATAATACAGGCCTAAAACTTCAAAGTCAATTATAAAGATATTAACGACACACTAAATTCGTGATTTTGACTTGATAAAATTTTATGGGAGGGTAAACCGCTTACGTAACGCGTTACGGCGCCAGTCTGTCTGGCTTCCCTTCGTCTCATGCATACAGCAGCGGTAAACAGACTCCTCGTCTCTCACTCTTACCCGCAGCGCCGCTTAGATAAGTTTCATTGTTTTATCCCTCCCCCGCCACAGTTATTTACACAGAACACAGATTCTGTGTTCTATGGTTACATTTGTAATTTGTGTGGTACATTTGTTACCCCTCCCCCCACCCCCTAGTGTGACGTTACATATTTTCCACCTAGAAATTATTAAAACAGCAGTTCCGACAGTTAACCAAAAAAATAAATTAAAACCCATCCAATCTCCGTAGCATGAGCATCTCAATTTATGTTATATCACGTTTTTTATCGCGTCTAACTGTCAAACTCCATAGTAATTTGACACTTCATAGTAATATATCATATCGCGGTGCTCATGTTAGGCGGGCAGGGGGCCATTCGCCTAACGGAAAACACTAACGCTTACTATTTCATTTTGTTATTTCTAGCCGAATGAGGTTTTCAAATGCTTCACACTCTTTTTTTTTTCTTTTGCATTGGTATGGTAATAACAATATTAAAAAAAAATGAGCGTGAGGTATTTGAAAACCTTCGGCGGTCAGAAATAACAAAATTAAATCGAAAGCGTTAACGTTTTCCAAAGCATTTCCGTTAGGCGAATGGCCCCCAGATAGAATTTTAAATATTTTAAAGTTTTTTGATAACAGTTCAAACGTATTAGATCTTGAAATGTAACGTCACGAAACTCTGGACCCTTCGTTGATCCCCACGCTCCTTCTTACTTACGTGTGACGTACTCTATGGATGACCCTCTAACTAAACGTATTTTTATACAGACAGACGCACATCAAATTGCCACAAACTGTCTGTGGCTTAGAAGGTCTGTGGTGGTTCCAAGGTGGTACGCACTAAATGAGAATGCGCAAATCCGGGTTACAGACATAGAGGTATGAGAATAGAGTAGGGGAGATATAGACTCTACTACAAGTGGAAGTGTCCCTCTAATAGAAAGAGAAAGAAGATGAGAGACCGCTAGCTTTCTCGCTCTAATCGCGCATGCGCATTGGCAACCGTAAGCATCTTACTATTTCGATGTGAGGTCATATTGCCGTAGAGGTGAGCTTGTTTTGGTTTGTTTGGTAAGTCGAAGTGTGATATATTGAGATTTATGTGAAACTAGAGATCGCCCGCGACTTTGTCTGCGTTAACTTAGGTTCTTGAAAATCCCTCTGGAACCATCATTTTTTCGGGATAAAAGTAGCCTTTGTGTTAATCTAGGGTGTCAGCTAACTCCATACCAAATTTTATCAAAATCGCTCCAGCCGTTTAGACGTGAAGAAGTAACAAACATACACACTCACATACAAACTTCCGCCTTTATAATATTAGTGTGATTATGACTATTATCAGAGTTTTATTCGTAACGAAAACGTATCGTTAGAAATTATTATAATAAAGTTATTAAATTAATAGTATTAATTATAGTTTGAATGTACTTTTTGTTGTGGCAGTTTGTTAGAAATCACACGACTGCGCATGCGTCACTAGAGAGAGAGATAGCTAACGCTCTCTCATCTTCTTTCTCTTTCTACTAGAAGGACACTTCCTTCCCCACTCTATTGTTATACCTCTTAGATTAAAGAATAGAGATGGACGTTTTTAGATATTTTTGAAATCGATGCGCATCGGTAGCAGATATATCGCATCGGATGCCCGCATCGATGTCAACTGAATGTCGATATTTTGTATCACAGGATACAATGCAATATGAATTTCTACAGATGCGTGTTTTGTATGGGTGTTTCTTTCGATTCCCTGAATCAGGACTTGAAAATGTAAACAAAAACCATTTGATAAAACTAGTTTTTACGGGTTAATGCACGAAACTTTATTTATTTATTGACGTTTCGTAGCCTTTACAGGCTTCGTCGTCAGAAATTTTGTTCGTGCACTAACCCGTAAAAACTAGTTTTATTTAATGAGTGATGTGCGTGAAAACCTAAGAAACAAATATGAAAACCATTTATTTACTTTTCGGTATGTCGATTCGTATATCCGACCATGGCACCGTTATCGTGCATCGTTATTCTAAAAACGCCCATCCCTATTACAGACAGCATAATTGCAAAGCACATGGCAACTAGATAACAGCGGGTCAGTATGCTTCAGTGATATAATCCTAATGTGATGTCAATATGATGTTGATGCCAGGTTGACATTGTTTTTAAATGGTATTATGAAATATTCCTACGTCACATCAAGATCATAATTATCAATATCAATCATATCCCTGTATCACATTTTTGACGTCAATGCTATACTGTTATAAGTCAAAAAGTTGAATGCGCATTTAAGTTGATATCATTTTAAAGAGTTGATCATATTACGCATAAGTTGATGTCATTATGATATCGCATTTTTCGGAGAGCATAATACCTAATGTGAATTTGACATCAATACAATATCACAATTAGCGAGCATAATTGGCCTGCTGAGCCGTTGAACATAGATCGCGGACTGGCGGCGGGAAGCTGCTCCAAAGTGCGCGCAGGCACCGTTAAGAAATATTTAGTATCAAACTAATTTAAAATATTAAAATAAAAATTACAAATATAAATAAATAAAAGTATATAATATATAAATATATTATATACTCAGGGGATCCAAGGACAAAGGTTGAGCCTGGCCATTCAACGGGGAAATGCCGCCAGCCTCTTGGGCACCCTACCCTGTGCGCGCAGCGATTTGGGGTCGATTTTTTACACAATATAGTTTTATTTTTAGTTTGATATAAGTATTTAGTTTATTTAAATATAAAATGTTTATGAGCGTGTCGCTGGCACTATCTTTTCTCATTATATTGTCAATCTCATTTCGGGTCGGTTACGGCCTATTCTTATTTCTTCTTATAATAGGGAACGGGTCAAAAACTATCGAAAATAGTCTTATGTAATAAATGAATGGCCCCTCTGTAATAGTTCCCGTGTAATTTGTGTAATCTAGAAACACACATTTGGCTTTCTAGTCTGGAAAAGCGAAATATTAACACGTTGTAGCGAGCCGCGGCGAGAGAGCGTGCCCGACTGAATGCAAGTCGGGCAATAGGGGTGATGACGGGGTACAGTAAATGAAATTCTATTTAGTCCGTCAGTTAGATGATCAAAAAATAATGGACACATATTTTTTCTTTGGGCAATCACTCAAAAAATGACAAAGTTATAGCTCGTCAAAGTTTGGGAGTCCCTACTCCCAAACTTTGACGGGCTTTTGAGGGGCTCGTGACGTCACTTTTGAGTGAATTTTCACTTATAAGTGTACTCAAACGTGACGTCATGCGACTTTTCAAATCAATATATCTCTGCAATGTTTATATTATGCGAAAAAAGAAAAGATTTTCAAAAAGTCCAATACTTTTTGATAATCTACCTGATAAACGAAGAAAAACATTAGATATCATCCCTATTACTTTAACTTTAAAATATCATTTTTCTATACTTTATCTAGGACTATAACTTTAAAATAGTACAACCAAAAATCTTCATAATCACTGATTTATTAACAAGTATTACTTCAATATTATATAAATTAATAATTATCCTTCACAATTCCACACGTTTGTTTGATCTGTTTCGCTTAACCCTCGGCGTGATAATCTTCATGTGCACAGATTTTATATGCGTCTTTACGTCTGTTGAGGTCACAAAGTCCTTGTTGCAGATCTGGCAGATGTGTCTTCGTTCACCCGTGTGAATCTGTACACATAATTACATGTAAACAAATAAATATGATGACGCCACTGTTAAATTACGATACCAATAATTGGTTTCTGAACGAACACTCGATTATAATAATAATTTTGAGGTGAAATAACACAATATGCATCGTCACAGTTTGTTTCGTTCGTCTTTAGCATGCCGCATTAACTTTTTAATTGTTATAGAAAAAAATCAGACCTATTCAACAAGCATTACGGTCCGGGGACCAATCGCCAAACGGGATTGCTGTGGCTATCGCTATCGCTCACGATTTCATTTTGGTTTTCTGATTGACGAAGATTTTCAAATGCCTCGCGTTCTTTTAACATTGAAAATGCTTTTTCGTTCGCTTCAGTAGTCCCCCATTTTCGCTGAAAGTGCGACTTGACCGTAATTTAGGGCCACGAGGCTCATGAGGGCTCACAAGACGCGGAATTTGAAGGGCTTTAAGAAGATGTAAAAATATTTTGGAAAAGTTTTTTTTTAGTAATCTATAATAGGTAGATTCATTTTCAATGTCCTTTTAAGTCGTGTAGAGCACGAGAGATCTGTTTTTTACTTTTCTTTTACATTAATATAATAATAATAATAATTTTCTTTATTTCTTCTCTCACATAACAATACATCAAATAACTTTAATACTTAAATCTGGTTATGTGAGAGACTGGCGTCTGTACTAGGAGACTTTTATTACAGATTACCAGTCTCTCCACCTCCGAACCGTCTATAAGGAACTCAAATACATATTAGTTCCTAATGGTAGACATACACACTACATTGGTAATAACAATATCAAAGAAAACTAGCGTGAGGTATTTGAAAACCTTCAGCGGTCACAAATAACAATATGATATCGTAAGCCTTAGACGATTGACCCCCAGGCCTAGTGTTGCCAGGTCCGAGTTGTTTTAAATCGGTACATGATGTCAAAAAAATCGGGACTTAGGGTTGCAGATCAGATTTTAAGTCTGGGTTTATTTTTATTGCGATTAAAATTACTAGTGCAAGAGTAGTATTATATTAATTAGCTAACTTTCATTTTTTGATTAATCGGGACATTTAGCGTCCTGATCAGACACACAGGGCCGGATTTAGGATTGTGGAGGCCCCGGGCCACTTAGGATTTGTATGCAAATCAATAAGCATCAATACCCATCGAAATGTTGTTATTTCTTAAGCTTTTGTGGAGGCCCCTGGGCCACAGCCACACCTGCCCAGCCTTAAATTCGGACCTGGGTAAAGGTAAAAGAGCAAAAAAAAATATCAAAGGAAAAGATGTTTACTAGTGTTTACTAGTTGGAATTTGAAAGACTTTTTTTTTCCGAAGTCTCTATTGTGGGGGCCCCCCGTTTGTGGAGGCCCGGGGGCTTTCGCCCTGCCCTAAATCCGGCAGTGCAGATACAAATCGGGACGCGTCCCCAGACCGCTGAAAATCGGGCCACCTGGAAACACTACCCAGGCCTGGGTTCGGTTCCCAGCCGAGAGGAATTATCTCTATTTAATGATTTTTAAAATTGCGCTCGCCGTTTTATATCATAAAAGCAAACTATCTTTTTTTTCTAATAATATTTAAATTAACTTTTTATTATTCTTATTATATTGACTACCTCCGTGGCCGAGTGGTTTGTACGCCGGGTTTCATGGTATCGCCGCCTCGAGAAGTCTTGGGTTCGAATCCCAGTGGGGGCAGATGTTTGTGTAATGAATACGAGCATTTGTACTGCAGTCATTGATGTTCTATATGCTTTTCTTTATAAATGTACAGTATATGTATTCTATCCGTTATCTTAGTATCCCATAACACAAGCCTTACAGTTTGGGGCTAGGCTAATTGGTGTGAGTGTTGGCAATATTTATTTATACTTACCAATGTATGCCTGTTGATGGCGGATTTTCTAGCAAACCTTTTAGAACAATACTCGCAGCTATAAGGTTTCTCTCCTGTATGAACCCTGGAATGTGCCTGATGAGAAAAATCAATACTAATATATTAAATTAAGGACGATTGCCGCCTTCTTTCCCGAGCCTTAAAGTATCTCTATACCAAATTTTGTCTAAATCGATTCAAAGTTAAAGTGTGAAGAGATAAAAGATAATATATTATTTTAAACTTTCATTGTCACCAAAATTATAGTAATACTAGCGGACCCGACAGACGTTGTCCTGTCTACACGTCTTTGTGAATCTAAACCATTCTCAGATCCCCTTGAACACACACAAAAAATTTCATCAAAATCGGTCCAGTCGTTTAAGAGAAGTGACATACACACTCACAGAAGAATTATATATATAAAGATATGTTATTCACTGAGTTACTCCGTGACCATGGCGCTTGCAACAGTGCCCAAATATCGGAAACTCACTAAAAACAAGGCACATGGTAACAATGCCGTGAAAACCATATATTACTATAAGATTAAAGATAGAACTTGAGAAAACTCAATACTGATATATAAAATTATAGTAATATATGTTATTCACTGAGTTACTCCGTGATCATGGCGCTTGCAACAGTGCCCAAATATCGGAAACTCACTAAAAACAAGGCACATGGTAACAATGCCGTGAAAACCATATATTACTATAAGATTAAAGATAGAACTTTAGAAAACTCAATACTGATATATAAAAGTCTGGACGACTGCAGCGTCCTTTCCCGAGCCTTGCCGAGAAATTTTGTGTAGAAACAGTCAAGTTTCTACACTAAATTTCATCTAAATCGGTTAACCGGTTTAAGAGTGAACAGGTAACAGAAATACAGACACACTTTCGAATTTATTGTCATATAATAGGCCGCCCGCGACGTTGTCCTCGTTAGGTTTTTAAGGAATCACACAGGAAACTAACATTTTTCAGGAAAAAAAAATCTGTTACGACAGCGCCATCTAGTCTCTCTAGGGGAATCTAGATGACTTGCAAACTACGCATTTTTCTTTAGGTTACGACACTTGGAAACTAGATGGCGTTGCCGACAATGCATCATGTATATATGTGCGCAGGAAAAATTGTGTTTAAACGGCTCTTCATTTTCTTCCCAGCAGTAAACATCTAAACCTACATATCGAATTGTCTTTCAATTGTGCACTCATTTTACAATATTAAAATATTTGATGACCTCCGTGGCCGAGTGGTTTGTACGCCGGATTTCATGGTGTCGCCGACTCGAGAGGTCCCGGGTTCGAATCCCGGTGTGGCAAGATGTTTGTGTGATGAATACAAGCATTTGTACTCCAGTCATGGATGTTTAATATGTATTTCTATATAAATATACTTATACATGTACAGTATATGTATTCTATCCGTTACCCTAGCATCCCATACCACAAGCCTTATAGTGCTTCCTTTGGGACTAGCTAGGCTAATTGGTGTGTGTTGGAAACATTAAAAAAAACCTATGTCTCAATCCAGGTCATAAGCATTTTCATTCTTATGATTCATTCATTCAAAGCAAGTCATTTTGTCCAAATCCGTTCAGCATAGTATATATATATATATATATATATATATATATATATATATATTGTAAGAAGAATCCTCTCTTACGTCAGGACCGCTGCTACGCCACCGCGCACGGAGTATAAAAAATCTAGTAGTCAACCATGAGCAAGCTATTCTTTAACTTTCTATTGTTGACAAGTTTTAGGATCCAACCGTCCTAAGACTGTACACATATTTATAAATAGACATATTCATCTCTGTCATATTTATTATTCATAAATAAAGCATAATCATTAGTTGCAAGCTACATTCTTTAAAATGAAATATAGTAGACCAAGAGTTGATCCCTTTAGTAAATCGAATTAAGCATCTAGCAACTGATAATTAATAATATGTGAACTATCTTATTATTTTAAATTATTATTATTTATTATTATTTTAATTAAAGCGTAACATTTTTGTGCAATACAATAAAACAAACAAAAAGATATGAACCAAGAGGTGATCCTTGTAGTATCCCTTTATTGCGTTTAGTATCTCTGATACAAATTCATTGAACATAAGCATCAACATTTATTCTAAAAATGTTTCTGTTTTTAAGGATACTAATAATATTCATTGTAAAGGCTTCATAAACTAATATTTTTTACTAATGATTCACTTATCTAAAGCATGACGAAAATCTAAGTGTGTAGAAAAGTTTTAGTAGAACAAATTCTACTCGGTCAGTCCAGGTTTCAGGATTAGAACCGTTATAAATCTAGCAGTTAAGTCTTTAGAACTTAAGTTCTAAAATCTATTTTCACTCACCACTGAACAGGAAACTTTGTATTTGTTGTGTTGAAAAGCGATGTGTTCATTTAACAAAAACGACGTCAAGTAACATTCCCCGCACTAAACACAAGATTTAACGTTCCTACACTTCGCACTGGAATTTTCCAAATGACTCTCTAAGGCAATACGGGACTTAAACTCCACATTACACAAGGCACATTTGGCTTTACCATGTTTATCAGTAAAATGAAGTTTTAAAGACTCCTCATCGGGGTAACTTTCACCGCACTGAGCACAACAATTCTCCACGCACTGTCCATTATTGTGTACTAACAACGAACTTTCGTTGAGAAAACTTAATCCGCAACATAGACACTGATATTCAATATTCGTATGCATTAATCTTCGATGAGTTTTGAGACCTAAATCGCTCAAAAATGAATCCCCGCACAATCTACACCAAACGTTGAGACCGGTCCGGTGGATTAGCCTCAAATGTGATAAGTAAGTTGTGCTACATTTGAATGATTTGCCGCAATATTCGCACGTGTGATTCAGTCCTGAATGTTGATAATGATGACTTTTGGCACTAAAGCACCTTGTGGTTTTGAAATGGCATATCTTGCATTTGAATCTGTGGAAGATATACATCTGTTATTATTTAATAGGTTGGGGAAAAAGTCTTCGCATTATAGTATGTATGAACTTGTAATAAAACCTCTTTGACTATACCATTTCTATCTGGCTGGTTTAGATATAATTAAAAAGTTTAAAAGAAGATAATTCCAAATTTAAATGAGAAAAATGTGTGTTTTTATATTTGTTTATTCTTACTGTCAAGATGAGTGAATCTAATGAAGAAATTAGATACATTTTAAAATGCAACGCAAGCCGCGAAACATATTTGAGATGTTAATGGACCTAGTGCAGTGTCTATGAGAGTAGCACAAATTTGGTTTAAGCATTTTCAATCCGGAAATTTTGATGTCAAAGACGCAAGTCGCTCTGGTCGCCCTGCTGTTACGGATGAAATGGATGCCATTTATAGAAAGTGGAGCAAGTTCGGCATATCAGGAGTTACGACATAGCTGAAGAGCTGGACATTGACCATAAACAGTTTTGGCGCATTTGAAAAAAGCTGGTTACACAAATAAGCTCTATATTTGGCAAGGACGCAGGACTTTGGGCAAGTGCCCAGGGTCCCGCAATCGATAGGGGGCCCCCTCAGATTCGTCGAAGTCGTAGGGGCCCCATTATCCTAATATGCCCAGGGCCTCCAATAGGTCAAAGACGGCACTGCCTGTACTCATTTGTGATTCTTTATTACGACGCAATGAAACCGAACCATTTTTGAAGAAGCTGATAACTGGCGGTGAAATGTGGATCACGTACGACAATAACGTGCGAAAAATGTCGTGATCAAAGGCCTGTTCACGCTTCACAGATTCTGGCAAAACCTGGGTTAACTCGCAACAAGGTGATGCTGTGTGTATAGTGAGATTGGAAGGGCATTATTCATTATGAGCTGTTACCGCCAGGCAGGACCATTTAATGATTTAAGCAGATGTTAAGACAAAGCGGCCGGAATTAATCAACAAAAGGGGTGTGATTTACATCATGATAACGCTAGACCTCATACATCTTTAGCCACTCAGCAAAAATTAAGAGTATGACTGGGAGGTGTTAATGCATCCGCCGTATAGTCCTGACCCTTGCAATATCAGATTACCACCCGTCTCGGTCTCTTCAGAATTGTTTAGGCTTTGTCAGGTTAACATCACGAGAGGACTGCCAAAATAACTTGTCACGGTTTTCTGATCAGTACCCCTAGCGCGAACCATTATTGAATTCGAATAGTTTGCAAACCGAAATGTCAATGTCTTTGTATGGAAACTTGAACAGCAGCGGCACAAAGTACGTAACGAGAACTAAAAATCAGTACACATTTGACAATGACATTTCGGACTCGCAAACGATACGAATTCGATATTTGTTCGTGCTAGGGGTACAGAAGCCCCAAAATTTCTATAACAATGGGATTATGTTCCTACCTACAAGATTGCAAGAAGTTATCGAACAAAATGGCACCTACATACTTTAGGTAAATGTAGATAAACTTTATTAAAAAATGTTATGAATTTTCATATAAAATGCGAAGAAACTTTTTCCCCGACTTAATATTTCATTTCTTATGTTTTTACGCCCTCCAATAATTAAATGAATGCTATCTTACTTTTCTAAGAATCTTATGCAAAGTATAAGAAATCTTTAAATGAAAAAGATGGAGGAATCAGTAATTGCGAATTGCGAGATAAGGAAAACAGAGATTAGATTTACTTTTCATATCATCAAAACAGTTTGTAATACTCTATTAGCGCCAACTTTGGTATTTAAGGAATCCCACGGGAACCTATTATGTTTACGGTATAAATATTATCCTATATCTCAATCCAGGTTATAAACTATGTGCATACCAAATTTCATTCAAAGTTTTTGCGCGATTGAGTAATTTTCACATCTTCAACTTCAGCATGATGTCGATTTTGGCATGATTCCGTAAACTTAAAACTAAATTTAACATTCGTCTCTCTATTTCATTCCGTATAGGTAGAGTGACTAGGATACACTGTTGTCAAAAAAAAAAACAAATAATGGTGGATAATCCTTAACATTCAAGGGGATGAAAAATAGATATTATCCGATTCTCAGACCTACTGAATATGCAGATAAAATTTTACGAAAATCGGTCGAGCCGTTTCAGAGTCAATTACGCACACCGTGACAAGAGAATTTTATATATTAGTGATATGTTTTAATGTTTTGTAAATACTAGGTTGAGTTCATCTTAATTAGTGACACGATTATTTTATATATAAGATAAAACCATATGTATGTGTACGTATATCTTACGATGAAATGGTATAGAATCTTCCCTAAACAGTGTTAGAAGAAGAAAAAAGCTATTTGCCAACTTACAAGTATTTGTGGTTGACCATGTGATTGCGAAGCTTCCTTTTGTTGTAGAATCTAGCTAGACACATCGAACACTCGAGTTCACCGACAGACGGGTGATGGAAGCAGTTGAAGTGACTCCTAAACTTTGCAGAGGACATGAAGCCTTTGAAACAAAGGTTGCACCTAAATGAAAAAAAAATGGGTGCGTGTACTTATGTAGGCGCGTGAGAAGTTATCCTTCTTTGGCATCGTTTAAAATTAGTTTTTAATTGCATGCAAATAATTAATTAAAATAAATTAATAAAAAGTCTGGAAAAGGACACAGTCAATAAAGTTCAGTTTTAATTTGAAAAAATAAATAAATAATCAAAATATTCAATTAAAATCGCTACTGAATATAATTTATTAGAACATAATGTATTATGTGATTTGCACTTGTATGAAACTCAAACACGTATTCCGAATATACAAACTAGAAACATGTGGATAAATATTATAAATATGAATACCTATAACTGTTACTTTATTACAAAAAATAAAGATGTGGTTTTTGGTTCTACTACACCAATGGTCAAGAGATGGCGCTGTAGTCTCCTGAATCGCGCTTTGGTTCCGTTGTTCCAGATTAATAAATACTTTTGATATTATAAATATGAATACCTATAACTGTTACTTTATTACAAAAAATAAAGATGTGGTTTTTGGTTCTACTACACCAATGGTCAAGAGATGGCGCTGTAGTCTCCTGAATCGCACTTTGGTTCCGTTGTTCCAGATTAATAAATACTTTTGATAGGCCTTCACAATGCAGTCGTTAGCACCCACTAAATAGAGATTCTATTTCTATTTTGTTGGTAGATTTTCTTAATGTGCGGAAAACACAAAAGTAACGCATGAAGTTGGTCGCTAAAGCGACCAACTTCATGCTGTTAAAATTTTGTGTTACAGTGATGCGCGCGCATCTTAAAATTTCACTCTCATAATTTTTTCATAACGCGCCTAAAGAAGTATAACTTCAAAAATAAAATTCAAATTTCTTTCATTTCTGTGAAAACAAGAACCACATAATATAAAAAGCCTTTGAAGAGATGATCACACCTAAATGAAATAATTATATGAAATGAAATCAAATCAAAAGTCATTTATTTAGTCTAGGCTGTTACAAGCAGTTGTGAAGGTCAAGAAGCTACACCATCGGTTCGCAAAACTACGGCGGGAGACCTTGTATTGAGAAGAACCGGCAAGAAAGGGCTGCTTTTTTCTAACTGTATTGATATATACAGAGTCGTCAAGTTGAAAAATGACTTCAAAGATATTTCTGAAGTCACCTTCCATTACATTATTTAGGATATAGATATATAGTTACAATAAATTTTATATTTAGTATATAGAAAGCGGCATTAGATAGGTACCATATTATAAGTCCGGTAAGTTGGTTATTACAAACGAGTACACGTTCATCTCTGGCTTACCATAGTCATGAGCACGAGTTTGTAAATACCAATCCACACGAATGTCATTCAACGTTTTTCAACACATTTGCGAGAAAACAGTACCTATACCTCATTTATGTAATGAAGAAAAAAGCGCGCATTTCCAAATGGGGTAGTGGAAATTAGAACTACTTAGGTAGTTTTCCAATTACAGAGCATAATACGACTAAATGGCGCACAATGTCGAATTATGCTGATGCTTAATTGGAACGTGAATTAGTTTTCAAATGGACAAGCAGAGTGCGCTAAGTTCAGTGTTGAAAAAAAAAACATGTACATATATGTGTATATTCATGTAAATATTCAATGTTTGTACCTTTATCCATACTTATATTTAATTTTTTTAACACAGTTTGAATAAACTTTGAATATTTAAAAAAAAACTACAATGAAACGAAAGCTGAAAACATTTCCATCAATGCCAACTTAAAGAAAAAATACTTGTTAATTTTCTGTCACTGAACTCAGTGACACAACTGGTATCGACTGCACGCATCACACGAAAACATTACTTTTGAGAGTGCTCGATTGTGCGAAGCGTTGCTGTAGTTGAAACATTCAACGTTAAGCATCACGCCGCATAATGCGGTGTAGTGTTGTAATTGTAATACTACTATAAAGTACTAACGTGAGACAGAGGTATAGATTAAAAACGGAGGTTTGACTGAGATAAAAAAATGGTTGCCTGTAAAGTCGGTTTTACGGGCGAAGATTTTACGTGACAACGTCTTTTTCTCGGTAGAATATTTATTGATATGAATATAATTAAATTGCACAATAGGAACAAGGAATTGAATGAAAATAAGAATTGCACAAATTTTAACTATAGAAATATATTTTGTTTACTAAAACATTGTACATGTAAACTTAAACTTAACACGAGAGACTCATCGTAACGTTACCGAGCGTTACACTTTTTCATAAGTGACTCCCAGCCGCAACCTAATTTAAGACGTTGTCACGTCAAAAAAACCGTAAAGGATCTCTTATCTATTAGACAAGTCCGTCTGTCTGTGGTGCTGTTTCAGCGGCCAAACCGTAAGAGATAGATAAAGAGAATATTTAAGTTATAAGTTAAGAATAGTCTGATAAGACTACAAACCGGATTTGAGTAACGTAGCACTTCCGGTTTTCGAGAAATCAGGTTTTGGTGAACATTTGGTTCACTGGTTTGCTAGTATATTATATAGGAAGGAAGAATATATTTTACTGTACGCCGTAATTTTGAACTTACGAACAATGTATACAACCTCCGTAAATGCATTTTTTGAGCAAATGTGTTGAAAAAAAAATATATTGTTTTAAAACCTAGTCTAAATAGATCTGTTATCTGCGTTCATACTTCAAACTGATATTATTATACTGAACGAGGAATTCAAGGATTTTCCCGTGACCCGTGAGTGTCGCCAAATTTTGAAAGCTTGTTTGGTAATTTTCAATCAAAAAGTGTGGTAGGTTTTAAAAAACCTAAACAGAAAAGTTTAATATAAACCCATATTTAACGGAAAAACTTCTTAAAATAATTGTGGATTCTGTACTTGTGAAAAAATAGGCCTTCGAAAAGAATACGATTTTTTTTCTTTCACAATAAAAAAAGACTATATTTTTGCATCTCTAATCTCACTGAAACCTTTTCCCGGACATAAATGTATTCAAATGACAAATTTGTGAGACAAAAAAAAAGCACTCACCTAAATTTCGAATTTAAATAGTTGCTTGACGATTTCCTCGCCTGCACGAATTGCAATTGCTCCTCTTGGGTCAAAACTTTTACTTCCATAGAGAATTCCTTCGCATACTTATTCACTATATCCTTCTTTTTTGTAGTACTATTTATTTTATTTACCCCATTTAAAAACTTTTCTTTAACTTTTGTGTCCATGTCATCTTCAGATTGTTCGGTATGACTTATTCCTGGATCATTTTCTTCGATGCAATTCAGATATTGTCCAATATTATCGATTTCCTCTTTAACATCTTGTTGTCCTATATTACTAATTCCTTCTTCATTTTCTTGCAAATACAGAATGGATTGATCAATATCCATGCCTGCTACATCATCCTTTTGCAAATATTTAACGGATGGATTACATTTACTAATTTCTTCATCCGTTTGTAACGTCTTGTCATTGGTAACAATATTTTCATACATTCCACTTTCTTCACGGTCTGATTTTACATCTTCTTCTTCATCATTATCTTCTAATTTAATTTCTATCTCATCGGTTTCTATATGCACGAGTTTGGATATAGACAAGTTCAAGTTTAGTTTGTAATAGGACCTGTCTATGGATTTGATGAGTGTGGGATTTAGCTGAAATGACGAAAGAAAATTAGTATAGAGTTCTCACTTATATTTATAAACTCGAAGTTTTAGTTATTTTTAACGATCTCCCGTGTCCTACAGGTGTGTACGCCGAGTTTCAAGGTAGTCAGAGATCTCGGGTTCAAATCCCGGTGGGGCCAATGTTAGTATGATGAACCCAAAACATGGATGTTTATAAAATATATAACGCTAGATAAATATTATATATGTATCAGTATACGTATTCTATCCGTTACCCTAGTATCCCATAACACAAGCCTTTCAGTGCTTACTTCGGGGTTAGGCTAATTGGTGTGAGTGTTGGAAATATTATTATAATGAGTTAATTCTCAAGATAGTGTGGCGGCGACATCTATATGCCCCACATATATTCTACGGATGGAGGAAATCATCACTCGCCTCCTCAAAAGATGGCGCTACCGGCGCTGCGATCAATACGTATGGAAGCCTACATCGCGAAAGTGAAATTCGGATGCTAAGACTCCATATATATAATGCCCGACCAACATCAGTTGGGCCGCGGCCTCCGAGCTACCATCACCCAGCTCGGAGGAGGCCTTCCTACAGTAGCAGCAAAGTAACAATACATTTGTATGGGCTCTTACCATGTTGTTGTCGCTCAAGTTTTGCAGCAACATTTCCGCGCGTCGACACCTCTCCCTGAACTGTGTGAACCTGACGAGCGATACCGCGCAATACGAGCACAAATATTGTGGCAATTCCTCCACTTTCTATTAACAAATAATAAAACATCAACATGTCATCCATTGAGGAGGCCGATGGCGCAAGAAATTAGCGCGTTCGGCTGCGATCGTTGAAGTTAAGCAACTTTCGCAGTGGTCGGTCATTGGATGGATGACAAATAATTACTATCTCAAGTTCCTTCGTGCTTCGAAAGACGCGTTAAGCAGTTGGTCCCGGCTGCATCTGCAGTCGTTAGCACCCACCAATCCGCACTGGGCCCGCATGGTGGGTCACGGTTCAATCTCCCTATTCCATCCATAAGGAAGGCCTGTGCCCCAATTACTATTGGGACATTGATAGGCTGCAATAATGTCATCCAATCATCTGCTATGTGGAACAATTAAATATTTTTCTTATTTCTTTTTTAATGGCGCAAATTCCCCACAATTTCGTCGATTTCTGATATTGCCAATTCCTATGTTGATTTAAATAAAACTTACTGTGGGTTACCTACAATGTGAAGATGGCGCTACCTCGCAGCCCAAGAAATACTAGAGAAAATTCTAAACGGACAATTAGGGCCGCGGTAGCATATTGGTCAGTGCATCCGTAGCGGAGGGTGCGGGTTCGAATCCCGTCTGCTGAACCGCGTGGATTTTGTTCTAGTAAAATTTTCTTTCGATTTAATAAACTATTTAATATTTGACAATATCTGGCTAACGCACATACCATTTTTTTTAAATAACCTCTTTTCACCGTTATAATGCTAAAGGAAATGTCGAAATATTCATAACGTGCACATAGCAGATATTGGTTTGACAACAACGAATTATATTGCAGTAAAAAGTCGTAACTAATCAATCGCAATTTCGGATACAAAAAAATATTGAGTAATAGAATTGAGTTATTGTAAATATAAACCATGCCCACTTTTTTTTTACTTTACTTGTCAATATTGCAATGCAACCAAACACCTGACTTCTTATTATATATTTTACTAACTAATAGAATTTTATAACCGAAGAGAAAGTTTATGTTGAATTTTATTTTAAATAAATAAAAAAAAAAACTGGGAAAGTTTTAACACGGACAAAATTAATACGATTAGTCTTTCAAAATGTTTATGAGAGGTATATTACCCTAGCGTAACAATTTCATAAGTCCATATCCTAAGGTATATAGTATTTTGTAGCTATTTTGTGCCGCAACAATTGATTTTGTTGCTCCATGATTTCTCCGAAAAACGCCTGTTACGCTAGCGAAACCACAGCGATATCTCGGAGGCAAAAGCAGTTAGAGATATCAGATGAACGGCATATTTTGTTGCTGGAAGATAGCTTGTCTTACAGCAACAAAATAGCAACAAAATATGCCGTTTATCTGATCTCTATAACTGCTTTTGCCTCCGAGTTATCGCTGTGGTTTCGCTAGCGTAATACTACGCTAGCGTAACTGGCGTTTTTCCGAGAAATCATGGAGCAAGAAAATTAATTCTTGCGGCACAAAATAGCAACAAAATACTATATACCTTAGGATATGGACTTATGAAATTGTTACGCTAGGGTAATATACCTCAAGCCCACCGGGTGAGACCCATGAGGGAGGCCCAGTGAGCGACCAGCGAGCGGGCGACGGACTTCAGCGGGCGGGGGTGGTGCCTTCGTTGCGGGTAGATCGCAAATTTTTCTTCTCGGCCTGCCCGAACTTTTTGACAAAGTCCGTGAGCAGGTCCGAGAGCTGGAACAGAAGGCGCGCGGTCTCAGCTGTCGCGGGCGTAGGTGGTGTGGGTGGCGGTGTATCCGCGACCGTGGTGATGACTTCACTTCGTTCGGGTGAAGGGGCGGCGATAGTCGAATCCGTCGGCGATGCACTCGCTCGACGGGATTTACAGCGGCGGCGTTTAGAGCGGCTGGTGTGCGAGGGAGGGGCGTTCGCGGGGGCCATTAACGTGGCCGGCGCGTGCTCGCTCACCTCGCAGGGCGCAGGGCTGTGGGACTGGCTCGGTGGTGGGGCGGCCGGTGCGGGCCACTGTCGTGGCGAGGCGGTTGCGTGCCTCGCGTTGGGGCACGGGGCACGTGCTGTGGTTGGCCGGGTGCGCGCCCTTACAGTTGGCGCACGTCGCGGGCTGTGTGAGCGGGCGGGGGCAGTCGGCGGCAGCATGCGGCTTGCTTCAGCGCACGCAGGCAGCCTCGACTGGAGTGGCGGAACCCCTGGCAGCGATGGCACTGTGCAGGGGTCTTCCTTCCTCTCCAGGCTTCTATGGAGATTCCTGCCATGTTCGTCGGTTCGTGTACTGTGTAGATGGCCGGGATGGTTTCTGGAGTTCGATGAAGTTGTAAGAAATAAAGGCATCCGGCGCGGCCTGCTCGCGCCCGGATCTCCCTCGCATATTCGACCGCGAAGCCCTTTGCGGTGAGGGCCTCGGCGATGTCTTGCGGCTGGGTGTTGATCGGTAGTCCTCCGACGGCTACTTTAAGACTGCAGTCTTAGGGTGCGGCCAGAGTGCACTCAGATTCAGATTCAGATTCCGATTTCGAAAACAAGCGCGAGAAATAAACAGTGTAGTCGAAGGGTACGGCCAGATTGCACTCCTGATTCAGATTCAGATTCGGACTCAGAAAACAAAGCGCGAGAAAAAGCAGGCAACCTGCTTAGACTACACTGTTTATTTCTCGCGCTTGTTTTCAGAATCTGAATCTGAGTGCACTCTGGCCGCACCCTTAGGGTCGGGCGTGCGCGTATCGGCTCAGCCCGCTTTGTCCCTCCAGTTCGGAAAGATAAGCCTGGATGAGCCGGCTCTCGACGTCGTTCGCTGGTGAAAAACGTACGCCCGTGCCAAACGGGCGCACGTTGGGTGGTCGTCCTAGTTTTTCGCGCAGGACGCGCAGGTGCTTTGGCCAGTCCTGCAGCTGCTCGACCACGATCGGCGGGTGTTTTCCGACCCGTTGGGATGTGGGAGCGCCGCCGGAGGCCTGTTGCGCGTTCTGTGCGGTGGTGGGTGGGCGGTCGGTGCGTTTTTCTTAGCTTCGATGTGAGTAGGCGCGGATTTTTCTGCCACCTTTGCGTAGGTAAACAGTCGGTAGTTGTTTCTCTGCTGCGGGGGCGGTTTTCCGTTCAGGCTAATGCGAAGCGGTGATCTTCATCTTTTGCATTGGAGGCAAGTTGCGAGATGGGGGTATCGCCGCAGCTGCGAGATCGGCGAGTCGAGTCGCGTGAAAGTCTCGTGCGTGGGTGGCGTTTCTCCTCTGGGTTCGTTGGTGGCTTCTTCTGGATAGGAACCATGTAGATGGAACGTGGCGGCGGGAGTGTGAGTGGCAGCAAGTTCAGCGATTTGCTTCCTTCGACGTCACCCCAGTCTCCGGGGCGGTGATCAGTCGTTGTGCTCTCTTCACACTCAAGTAGTCGGACGTACGCCCATATCCAGTTCATCAGTCTGCCGGATGAGAGGCGGGAATCGATGAGGCGGCACACCATCGCCTCGTCCAATTCATATTGGACGCGGGGTGATCGTGTGGTAATCAATCGGGCATTGCAGCGTGCGGTCAAGTGGGTTGTTCCCTCGTCGAATACCGGATCGGGGTATATCTTCGGCTTCGGTTAATCGTCATTCATGGCGAGATCGGGGCTCACGTCGGCGCGACCTTGGCCGAGCTGCGCCTTGCGGCGTGCTCAGGCCTGCGGCTGGGTGGTGCGGTAGTCCCCGCTGGCGCAATGGCGCCAGGCAGTGCTCGCGGGAGCGTAAAATCCAATTTTACGGTGGAGCACTTGTGGGAAGGTAGGTCCAGCCCTCCATGGCGGCTAAATACCCTTATTCTTAGATATCTCTGATTTTTCGTATCTCGTGAACTAAAGCAGCTAGGGGCACGAGACAAACGGCGTATTTTGTTGCTAGAAGAAAGGCATGCTGCGTACATCATAATCAAAACCCTTATCGGGGTATGACCAACCCCCGACCCCGAAGACACCAGATATTTCGTATCTCGTAAACTAAAGCAGCTAGTGACCCGAGACCAACGGCGTATTTTGTTGCTAGAAGAAAGGCATGCTGCGTACATCATAATCAAAACCCTTATCGGGGTATGACCAACCCCCGACCCCGAAGACACCAGATATTTCGTATCTCGTAAACTAAAGCAGCTAGTGACCCGAGACCAACGGCGTATTTTGTTGCTAGAAGAAAGGCATGCTGCGTACATCATAATCAAAACCCTTATCGGGGTATGACCAACCCCCGACCCCGAAGACACCAGATATTTCGTATCTCGTCAGATAAAGCAGCTATAGCTCTGATATCTCTAATCGCTTTTGCATCTGATATCTCTAACTACTTTTGCCTCCGAGATATCGCTGTGGTTTCGCTAGTGTAACAGGCGTTTTTCGGAGAAATCTTGGAGCAACAAAAACAATTCTTGCAGCACAAAATAGCAACAAAATACTATATACCTTAGGATATGGACTTATGAAATTGTCACGCTAGAGTAATATACCTGTTTATGAGATAAAAATACTAACCGTTTTTCCGACGAATTCTTCAAAATTTTCCTTCAAATCCATCGATTCCAGATCAAACATTTTGACGTCAGTGGCGAAACATCCACGACACAGTAACAGTTGATCCGAAGTCTCATCAGTTGCTTAAAATAAAAAATGATTTATTTATTTGTGTAGGTTAATTATGGAGAATTACCTAATTATGGGGCAATATAAGATTAGTTTTTTGGAAAGCGTTCAACAATAATAATCACACAATATTTTCTATTAGATAGAACCTAGCATCACATTGAAGCATATTTTGTTTTTGTAAATTTATAAAATAAAATTCTATGCTTTGTAAATACTATTTTTTTATTACATTTTAATTAAAGGTGATTGTAAATTGACAGCGCAGAACAAATGATTTAGAAAAGCAAATTCGCGCAGTCTTCTAATCACTCCTTCAATATGAATTCGAAGTCTTGCAATTTTCTTCAACCTTATTACTTCATTTTTTGTACTTTTCTTGGTGTTGCTAACAATAGGTGGTCCTTTGATGTGCTTGAAGCCTCTGTCTGCCATGATACAAGTTCCAGGTGGTAAAATGTTCATAAATCCAGATTCTTGAAAAACTTTTAAATCAGAAGTTCGGCCACCAAAACCATCTGAGACAAAGTTTATAACCCCATCTGGTGTTGAAAATATTAAATATTTTAGAGTGTTGCATTTCTTGTAAGAGGAATAGGTTAGAGATTGGTGTACTGCATCACTAGGAAGTTCTATATCTATTTCAAGGCAATCAATTATACAGTATGTTTTGGAATAAGAATTTCTGAAGCTAATCGGTAAGTTCGCAATAACTGACTCTCGTGATGGTTTAATAATAAACTTTTTTAATACTTCAGCCATTTTCCAACAATTTCTTGAAAATATTCTGCTTGCTGTAGTTGCATGTATATCAAAATCTTCTGCTAAAATAGAAAACGATTCATTCAGTCGTAGCTTTTTTAAAACTAAGCAAATATGATAAAGATTGCATTTAAGTGTTTTTGTAGAAGTTCTACAAGAATATTGCTAGAAAATGGCACCCCTATGTACAACTGAGGCTGTGCCATTATGCGACCCATTGTTATGGTCACATAACTGTCTTTGTTTTAGCTCTATACATCCAATTAAAACAGTTTCTGAAGTACTATCAGTCTCCTTTTCAGGATTAAATTAAATATATTTTTTAATTGAAATAAACTCCTGATACTGTCACTATCACTAGAGTCATTACAATGAAGAATTTTATACTTATTTAGTTTTATTGGTGATGTTTTACAATCCCTAACATTGACTTGCTTAGGTGATAAAACTAGTCTTTTGGGGTATTTTCATTTCTACTTGAACTTGTTTTGATTGTTTATAAAGATATATAGATACTTGCACACCTTTATCATTGAATATTTCAATATTTTGAGAACCATGTGTTTCTGTGGTTAATGGACACTCTGAAGATGGATCTGAAACATGAAAGACAATAATATAGTTCTTCATTATAATACATTATCCTTATACTATTATAAATTTGTTTGAATGTTTGTTTGTCTCTAATATAAGAATAAATCGAAAGTATACCTGGTGAATTTTCAATGCTCTCAAGAATTTCACGTTTTCTCCTTTTCATTATTAGTGATCTAGGTTTCAGTGGCATCATTCTATTTTGGCATTCAAAAATATGAGGTACCACATCTTTTTTCAGAAAAAGTTTTCCTCCACACATTTTAAACTTTATCCAGTTTTCGACGTCGTTTTCCAACTGTAAAACGAAAAATATGTTAAAGACAGGTTTTGTAAGTATTAGGTAGATTACTAACGCGTTTTTACGTACAAGCAGATTAATTATGCATATAACAAGTATATTCTTCGACTTACGTCAAAGTGATCTTCACAGCATCGAATAATGGTCTTTGGCGAGTAATTTCCATCTCTCCTCGCAGCTTTAAACCACTTTTTTCTCAGTTTTGGGTCAGAAGGTCCAGTCAAAAACAATTTACTTGGAAACTTTGTTGAAGTTGATGGACACATTGGCACAAAACATGAGTCAACACGGCTTTTTTTTGGAATATTAATGGTATAGTTATGATCATCTGATGTTGATGGGTAGTCCATTTAAAATTTTTACGGAAAATTATCTCGAAAATCGAAAAAATAACCAAAAGTATGAAAGGCAGCGACGAACAAGTACGACCAGTGACAGCAGACAGGAGTGACGTCATCGGAACCATAGATCCGTTTTCGCGCGAAAATTTAAACTGTCAATTTAAAACCGCAATTTTTCCGATAAATTACATTTTTTTAATTTTTTAATATATCTGTGGTTTATTGTACATGGAATTCTTTAAAATGATAACAAAAATAAAAATATTGCATCTTCCCTACCAAAAACAGCGATGGAACTGCAATGCACTGCAATGTTAATTAGGAAAAAAAAGTAATCCTCATGATAAACCCTTTCGATGGTTATCATAAAATACATGTTTTTTTTTGTTTTAATCGAGTTTGATTCCCGGTTTTGGCAGGCGATTTTTTTTAAAAATATGAATGAGGTTCTACTTATTATTAAAAATAAAATGCTGTCTTACGTGTGGGACGTGGGAATGTGGGACCTGTGGGACGCCCTGTAGATATAGTTTTGTGAGTATGCTAAGCATAAGGGACACCATTGTTTGTGTTACTAACCCTAAATTCGCAATTTTTAAGTTTGACTATTATTGACCCAGAACCAAATTGTGTAACTTTTTGACTTATGCTACCCTAATCAATTTTAAGGAAAAGTGATATAGATAATAAATATAATGTTATACATATATTCACATTGATACCTTTTTCATTAAGCTCATACATGAAAAGTAATGATTAAATAAAACAATAAGTCTTACTATATAAAATTTGGACACTGTTAAACCTGGTTGAGGCATGTAGTTTTTTTCTTAAACTCATGTTGAATAAGGGTTGCTAGACTTGGTTGATCCTGTAATGCTCATGTTGGCTAAAAACTATGGGATTTTAAATTTTGGCCCATATACAATTTGCATTAAAAGAAAAAGTGGAGTTTGAAAAGTGGAAATTTTAGCCCGAGAAAGGCTAAGGGATTTAATGCATCCAAGATATGGTGTTGGATGCGAATGCTATGGATACCTTGGACGGTAAAGCACCATACCAATGCACCAATCCACACCAAGCTTGCATAAAAACTCGTTTGTCCACCTTATGGCTGGCAGAGTATTCTTTCTTACTTTGGCTACACAGTGCACAGAGGCAATGGAAATTTGGAGAAACTTATTATGGTTGGGAACACTGAGGGCAAAAGATCGCGCGGTTGTTCTCTGAGAAGATGGACCAACCAAATTTTTGATTCGTCTTCATCCAAAGGACAATGGCGAAATATTTGTTGAAGTAAATCTTTAGAGTCTATAGATGTCATTATCAGAAATGTTAATAAATAATCTCAAAAGATTTATTAAACAATTGAAGAGGATTGTCCAAGTCTGGAATTAAAAAACTTAAATAAAGGGTAACACAATTGACTATTTCTTTGTGACTGTTGAGTAGTAATGGATGCCATAGAAAGGGATGCTCCTATGTGCTACATATAGCAACATCCCTTTCTAACTACGCTCAAGACTAGATCAATCACTGAGAATCTTTCTATGATACGGGCCTTAGTTGTCATTCTATAATACGGGCCTTAAGACTTCCGAATCTGATATTTTGGACAACTTCTTGCTGTGGATTTTGGACACAATTCTGTTTTATACTGTGGATTTTATTTCATTGTATCTACTATCTACGATATTGTCATCAAAGATGTGGAATACAAAATATAGAAAAAGTGTTTCATACTTAATTAATATCCCATTAGTACACTACTAGAAATCCTTTTTTGTATTTTATTATTGCTGTGGGCATTTTCAAATTGTTAAGTACTTCTTACAGCACAGACATTGTATTCGAACTCAATAACCCTTGTCTGTTATTATTTTGACGCGGCTGGTCAGTACCTACGCCCACTGATCATACATTATAAAAAACATTTTTTTTCATCACTTATGTACGGGATCTGTATACTTCTACAGTTCTGTTCCACTTATTTTTTATTTTGATATGAAAATACTCTTGAAAATACTTTTATAATTCGTTTTTGTATTACTGGGTATCACATAACCTCCAAAACTTCAAATTAGAATATGTATAAATCCAGATTTGCTATAAAACAAGAAATAAGACTAATCATATCAAGAATCTAAACTCTATAATTTAACAAGCAATTCATTTATAGACGCAAATAAAATGTGCTGTTTATACACACCTTGAGTATTTATGATAGATGAACTTTGTGCAGGAGTTGTATTACTTTCATCTGCTTCATTCAGGCACTCTGCTATTGTCATCATTCTTTGTTTTTTCAATATGTATGGTCGTACTGTGCTGCTACATGTCCGTTTTTTTCTGTCTTCTTGACATTCAAATTTACTTGGAGTACAACCTGGTTTCATTCGCACTTGTGAAACTTTTCCCATAATGTGATACTCGGTATAATTAAGCATATCATTTGGCAACTAGAATAAGAAGTGTGTTTATTATTATGAATAAATAGACTAGCTCTCAAATAGAATATATCATTCATCTATGCCATGAAACTAAATCAACTTACATAACCTCAACCAACTTCAACCTATTGTCATTGTTTTATCAATACAATGCAATATAATTTATCCCGCTTGTGTAACATTTAGATGACATAGACTATTTAATGCAAAATACTTACATTAAAATGATCTTCACAAAAATACATTCTTGTCTTTGTTGATAAACAATGAATACGATCCCTCCTTGCAAGTTTTAGCCATTTTTTCCGCTTTTGTGGATTGTTTGGAACGTATATAAATAATTTTTCTGGCGTTTTTATGCTCGTGCTTTTACACTGGGGCACTATACAGTACTTGTAATACGATGGATTCATTTTTAACTAAATAATTCTAATATTCGGCGTACAGCGTATTGTTTGTTTTGCACGGCGTGACGTCATTCTAGACGTCATGCATGACAGCTTTGAGAGTTTTAGAGGGAAATTTTTTTTTTTTTTAAATACAAAATACATATCATTACTGTACCATTTTATTGTAAATATTTTTTTTGGGATAAATTTTAGATCAGTTAAATAATTGACCACTTTTTAAAATTTAGGCTACTAGCCTATTCGACATTCAAACACGCTGCATGTGCACTTAATATAATAATATTGCGTATATTCTGTGCTATAAACTTTTAAGAGAAAACAAAGTTCGAGGTCCCAATTAAAAAATGGGCCATAGATAAATCAATCATTCATTAATGAAATGGACCAAAAAAGTTGAGAATTCACACCGGTTAATAAGGTACTCTGTGATTCACACTAAGGGTGCGGCCAGAGTGCACTCAGATTCAGATTCAGATTCAGATTTCGAAAACAAGCGCGAGAAATAAACAGTGTAGTCGAAGGGTACGGCCAGATTGCACTCCTGATTCAGATTCAGACTCGGAAAACAAAGCGCGAGAAAAAGCAGGCAACCTGCTTAGACTACACTGTTTATTTCTCGCGCTTGTTTTCAGAATCTGAATCTGACTCTGAATCTGAGTGCACTCTGGCCGCACCCTAAGGCCGTATACAGAAAGAAAGCCGAAAGCCGATCGGCGCCGATCCTTCCTACATAAAGGAAGCCGATTAAAGCAGATCAAGCAAAATGTCGGACTCATCGGACGATGATATGGTTTTGTTAGAAAATGTTTATTTAAAAATGCGAAAAACAGCTATACATCCTATAAATAGAGAAAGGAAACGTTTCGGAGAATACCATCATTTATTTGTAAAAAAAAATAAATTTGATGAACAAAGATTTTATACATATACAAGAATGATTCAAGAAACATTTTATTACATTTTGGATTTAGTGAAAAACCGTTTGATGAAAAATTGGGGCAATTGGCATAAACAACTAATCCTTCCAGAAGAAAGACTTGTTGTCACCATTCGGTAAGTACGAAACAAATAATTTTAGCGCTTAGTTAATAAAAGATAAAGTTATTAGATTTATAAAAAGATTATAACTTAGATTGATTTAATCTGAGGATAATAATTCAGATACAAATTATTTATTATTCGGACCAGCGCGTGTCGGCGCTTATCCGCTTTCTTTCTGTATACGGCCTTATTCGCACTTCGCCATCCACAAGTAGTAAGTGTAGTAATTAGTGTTGAGTAGGACTTACAAGAGGCGGTACATTTGTCCCGGACATGACGCCAAATTGTAAGAGCGGCTCAAAATTTTAAAATGTACTACTTCACATTAAATGTAGCGATAGTCGCGTCTCGTTACTCACTCACTCTTCGTAAGTCTGAGAGAGAGAGCAAGGCATAATATTTCATTTAAGTCCTCTACGCACTATCCATCTGTATCTCTATCTGTTTTACGTGTATAGCGCTGTCCTGCATGCTGGATCCAGCAAGATTGATAGTGCGTAGAGGAGGTGCTACTCGTGCACACAAACGTAATGTCGAGCTTCTGTACGCCTCAATGTCATATTTGTACTCGTCACTTCAAATGTATTGCCGAGCTTCAGTACGCCTCGCCTCATTTGAAGTGGGACATTGTACTGGTTCAGTACAAAAAAGAGGCTACTCTTACAAACTCTTTTTCAAGTCGTGTCCTACCCAACACTAGTAGTAATGCACAAGTACCTGGAAAAATAATTAACAAAGTTTTTTTACCGGCCCTGACTTCAGAGCCTTCTGCCGTACCTATTGTCAAGTCTACATTTTTTATTAAACGGTTTTATTTAGCTCACCCCGTTTGTTTTATTCTTGGGTCAAATTTAGTAATTAAAATTTCACCCTCTTCCTGTCAACCGATTAATCTGAAATTTTGTATACACTTTGGATTTTGGTGACAATACAATTATGTTTATTCATTATCATTATAAATTCAAGATGGCCGCCGCTACAAAATGGCGGATAATTTATGTTTTATTAATCCCATCAACATTGGTATCAAATGAAAGGGCTCAACAGGTAGAATACAATTTATTATGCTATATGAATACAATTTACTATACTATTTATTAAAATCTAAGATGGCCGCCGCTACCAAATGGCTGATAACAATTTT